TAAAAGAACGAAACAGCTGTAGGATGTAGCATCACTGACGAGTCCTAAAAGAACGAAACAGCTGTAGGATGTAGCATCACTGACGAGTCCTAGAAGGACAAAACAGCTGTAGGATGTAGCATCACTGACGAGTCCTAGAAGAACGAAACAGCTGTAGGATGTAGCATCACTGACGAGTCCTAAAAGAACGAAACAGCTGTAGGATGTAGCATCACTGACGAGTCCTAAAAGAACGAAACAGCTGTAGGATGTAGCATCACTGACGAGTCCTAAAAGAACGAAACAGCTGTAGGATGTAGCATCACTGACGAGTCCTAAAAGAACGAAACAGCTGTAGGATGTAGCATCACTGACGAGTCCTAAAAGAACGAAACAGCTGTAGGATGTAGCATCACTGACGAGTCCTAAAAGGACAAAACAGCTGTAGGATGTAGCATCACTGACGAGTCCTAAAAGAACGAAACAGCTGTAGGATGTAGCATCACTGACGAGTCCTAAAAGAACGAAACAGCTGTAGGATGTAGCATCACTGACGAGTCCTAAAAGAACGAAACAGCTGTAGGATGTAGCATCACTGACGAGTCCTAAAAGAACGAAACAGCTGTAGGATGTAGCATCACTGACGAGTCCTAAAAGAACGAAACAGCAGCATCACTGTAAAAGAACGAAACAGCTGTAGGATGTAGCATCACTGACGAGTCCTAAAAGAACGAAACAGCTGTAGGATGTAGCATCACTGACGAGTCCTAAAAGAACGAAACAGCTGTAGGATGTAGCATCACTGACGAGTCCTAAAAGAACGAAACAGCTGTAGGATGTAGCATCACTGACGAGTCCTAAAAGAACGAAACAGCTGTAGGATGTAGCATCACTGACGAGTCCTAAAAGAACGAAACAGCTGTAGGATGTAGCATCACTGACGAGTCCTAAAAGGACAAAACAGCTGTAGGATGTAGCATCACTGACGAGTCCTAAAAGAACGAAACAGCTGTAGGATGTAGCATCACTGACGAGTCCTAGAAGGACAAAACAGCTGTATGATGTAACATCACTGACGAGTCCTAGGACAAAACAGCTGTAGGATGTAGCATCACTGACGAGTCCTAAAAGGACAAAACAGCTGTATGATATAGCATCACTGACGAGTCCTAAAAGGACGAAACAGCTGTATGATGTAGCATCACTGACGAGTCCTAAAAGGACAAAACAGCTGTAGGATGTAGCATCACTGACGAGTCCTAAAAGAACGAAACAGCTGTAGGATGTAGCATCACTGACGAGTCCTAAAAGAACGAAACAGCTGTAGGATGTAGCATCACTGACGAGTCCTAAAAGAACGAAACAGCTGTAGGATGTAGCATCACTGACGAGTCCTAAAAGGAACGAAACAGCTGTAGGATGTAGCATCACTGACGAGTCCTAAAAGAACGAAACAGCTGTAGGATGTAGCATCACTGACGAGTCCTAAAAGAACAAAACAGCTGTAGGATGTAGCATCACTGACGAGTCCTAAAAGAACGAAACAGCTGTAGGATGTAGCATCACTGACGAGTCCTAAAAGAACGAAACAGCTGTAGGATGTAGCATCACTGACGAGTCCTAAAAGAACGAAACAGCTGTAGGATGTAGCATCACTGACGAGTCCTAAAAGAACGAAACAGCTGTAGGATGTAGCATCACTGACGAGTCCTAAAAGAACGAAACAGCTGTAGGATGTAGCATCACTGACGAGTCCTAAAAGAACGAAACAGCTGTAGGATGTAGCATCACTGACGAGTCCTAAAAGAACGAAACAGCTGTAGGATGTAGCATCACTGACGAGTCCTAAAAGAACGAAACAGCTGTAGGATGTAGCATCACTGACGAGTCCTAAAAGAACGAAACAGCTGTAGGATGTAGCATCACTGACGAGTCCTAAAAGGACGAAACAGCTGTATGATGCAGCATCACTGACGAGTCCTAAAAGAACGAAACAGCTGTAGGATGTAGCATCACTGACGAGTCCTAAAAGAACGAAACAGCTGTAGGATGTAGCATCACTGACGAGTCCTAAAAGAACGAAACAGCTGTAGGATGTAGCATCACTGACGAGTCCTAAAAGAACGAAACAGCTGTAGGATGTAGCATCACTGACGAGTCCTAAAAGAACGAAACAGCTGTAGGATGTAGCATCACTGACGAGTCCTAAAAGAACGAAACAGCTGTAGGATGTAGCATCACTGACGAGTCCTAGAAGGACAAAACAGCTGTAGGATGTAGCATCACTGACGAGTCCTAAAAGAACGAAACAGCTGTAGGATGTAGCATCACTGACGAGTCCTAAAAGAACGAAACAGCTGTAGGATGTAGCATCACTGACGAGTCCTAAAAGAACGAAACAGCTGTAGGATGTAGCATCACTGACGAGTCCTAAAAGAACGAAACAGCTGTAGGATGTAGCATCACTGACGAGTCCTAAAAGAACGAAACAGCTGTAGGATGTAGCATCACTGACGAGTCCTAAAAGAACGAAACAGCTGTAGGATGTAGCATCACTGACGAGTCCTAGAAGGACAAAACAGCTGTAGGATGCAGCATCACTGACGAGTCCTAGGACAAAACAGCTGTAGGATGTAGCATCACTGACGAGTCCTAGAAGGACGAAACAGCTGTAGGATGTAGCATCACTGACGAGTCCTAAAAGAACGAAACAGCTGTAGGATGTAGCATCACTGACGAGTCCTAAAAGGACAAACAGCTGTATGATGTAGCATCACTGACGAGTCCTAAAAGGACAAACAGCTGTATGATGTAGCATCACTGACGAGTCCTAAAAGGACAAACAGCTGTATGATATAGCATCACTGACGAGTCCTAAAAGGACGAAGCAGCTGTATGATGTAGCATCACTGACGAGTCCTGTAGGATGTAGCATCACTGACGAGTCCTGTAGGATGACATCACTGACGAGTCCTAAAAGAACGAAACATCTGTAGGATGTAGCATCACTGACGAGTCCTAAAAGAACGAAACAGCTGTAGGATGCAGCATCACTGACGAGTCCTAGAAGGACAAAACAGCTGTAGGATGTAGCATCACTGACGAGTCCTAAAAGAACGAAACAGCTGTAGGATGTAGCATCACTGACGAGTCCTAAAAGAAGAACGAAACAGCTGTAGGATGTAGCATCACTGACGAGTCCTAAAAGGACAAAACAGCTGTAGGATGTAGCATCACTGACGAGTCCTAGAAGGACAAAACAGCTGTAGGATGTAGCATCAGGACAAAACAGCTGTAGGATGTAGCATCACTGACGAGTCCTAAAAGAACGAAACAGCTGTAGGATGCAGCATCACTGACGAGTCCTAAAAGAACGAAACAGCTGTAGGATGCAGCATCACTGACGAGTCCTAAAAGAACGAAACAGCTGTAGGATGTACTGTAGGATGCAGCATCACTGACGAGTCCTAGGACAAAACAGCTGTAGGATGTAGCATCACTGACGAGTCCTAGAAGGACAAAACAGCTGTAGGATGTAGCATCACTGACGAGTCCTAAAAGAACGAAACAGCTGTAGGATGTAGCATCACTGACGAGTCCTAGGACAAAACAGCTGTAGGATGTAGCATCACTGACGAGTCCTAGAAGGACAAAACAGCTGTAGGATGTAGCATCACTGACGAGTCCTAAAAGAACGAAACAGCTGTAGGATGTAGCATCACTGACGAGTCCTAAAAGAACGAAACAGCTGTAGGATGTAGCATCACTGACGAGTCCTAGAAGGACAAAACAGCTGTAGGATGTAGCATCACTGACGAGTCCTAGAAGGACAAAACAGCTGTAGGATGTAGCATCACTGACGAGTCCTAGAAGGACAAAACAGCTGTAGGATGTAGCATCACTGACGAGTCCTAGAAGGACAAAACAGCTGTAGGATGTAGCATCACTGACGAGTCCTAGAAGGACAAAACAGCTGTAGGATGCCGTTTGATTAATTGTTTGGCTTTACTGTATCTAAACTAGTATATCAAAGGTGCTATTCACTTGTGTGTGTTGTACAATACTAAAGCAATATTCGCTATCGACTTTTAACAAAAAGAAAGTTGTGTAATGATGTTTTGACTTTGTTTAGATAGGTAGATAACCCAATCGTCACTCTAATATTGATACATTGGCAACGTTCTCGTGGTTCGTAGGTGTAGGAGTAACCAGTATACCTGGTGGTGGTTGATGCTGAAATATGTAAACGAAAACTGATTTTCCACAAAAAGGAATATGTGATAGGCTGTTATTACGAATAGAAAACGTCAGTTTGCAATTTGTTACATCCTGTGTAGAAACGGTGCAGAATCGAATGCTTCCTTTTTAATGACCAATTAAAAACTTCATTGGCGCGAACTTTCTGTACGACAAACCAAGAGCAAAAAATATCAGAAGATTTGAGTAAAACCGATGGTCAAATCTACTGAAATGTTTATTTTCTTCATAAAACCTGTCGATTTGGTATATAATTTTCTTATTATCTAATCTTTAAGACCGATGATGATTAAATGTTTTCTAAAATCGAAGATCAACTAGATGATGTGACCGATATGCTGACGTACTACTTAGCGTACAGTGCTACAATATCAAACATTCGATGCATTTACTTCTGTTACGATGGTGATGACATCCTATTGACAAATTTACTTAAATGCGTACACTTAGGAACGACTGAAAACTGTTATCGTGAGGTCATAGGTTAAACACTATTTATAGATACGAATTCTGCGTGAACTCATCATGATTGCATCCGATTACCATATTGATAACAGGCGAGTCTATATCTATATGGGACAGGGGAACATAGGTAGGAATATCTCCTATTTAAGTATAGTCCATTAGAAATTTCTGAATAAAAGATGGTTGACATACCTGCTGAAGAAATGAATTCGGCCAATATGAATATTCAACGCACAGGTTATTTCTTTCCTAATAGAATCTGGACCACGTGGTAGGCGACACCCAATTCTTGGCTAATTTCCACTGTCTCACGCCGTACTATTACCATGCCGACCGTCATGTGTTACACCAACTTGAACACGGACCAGTTACCAGAGGACTTCGAGATATGGGCCACCGGTGTTGTAGCTGAAGTGGTAGATAACCCCGCCAAGGTGAGGTGTGGGTTTAACTATAATCTCCACTGCTGATGCCTTGACATCCTGTAATGTTATGTCTACAGAATCAGACGTCCATTATGACTGTAAACTCCAGTTATATCACTACTGACGCCTTGACATCCTGTAATGTTATGTCTACAGAATCAGACGTCCATTATAACTGTAAACTCCAGTTATATCACTACTGACGCCTTGACATCCTGTAATGTTATGTCTACAGAATCAGACGTCCATTATGACTGTAAACTCCAGTTATATCACTACTGACGCCTTGACATCCTGTAATGTTATGTCTACAGAATCAGACGTCCATTATAACTGTGAATCCTAGTTATATCACTGCTGACGCCTTGACATCCCATTGTTGTCCAGAAGCTGTTATTCTGAAGAGGATCTATTCCTCATTGATTTCAAGGATCGACGAAAAGTAGAGATTCTTAGAAAATGTTCATTTAATGATTTAAGTGTAAAAATACGTTCTTATTGGGTTAAGCATTCGGTAAAACTGCGAAAATTATACCAATGAACATAAAATAAATATAAATAAAACAACAACCTCTTCGGTACCTTCTTTTGAAAATACGTGTAGCTGATCTCATTCCAAATAGGTGTTGAATGCCAAACTATTGACAAAGAAATGTTATTAACATTATCTCCGACATCTATTTCATCATCTTACCAACTCTATTACGGTGATGTGGTGTTTGATTTTGTTTGTATTCTCACTGCACATATAAGACTTGCTACTGAACATTTTGGCATGATGACCTTTTAACTCTGAATTGGGCGGTAATTGATATGGTTATGGTACCTGATTACAAATTGTTTGGTTTAATTAACACTGTCACCGCCACCTCATATAACAGTAGTATGTATTACGTTAACAATAAATGGCAACTCTTACGAACAACATTGAATTTTTCAGATGGGGACAAAGACTTCTAAACATTAGCTGGAATATGTGTGGGGTAAAGAGTCAATAAGACAAGATAACACGACTAGTTTGAAATATGTAAGACAAGATGACACGACTTGGTTGAATTGTGTAAGACAAGATAACACGACTAGGTTGAAATATGTAAGACAAGATAACACGACTAAGTTGAAATATGTAAGACAAGATAACACGACTAAGTTGAAATATGTAAGACAAGATAACACGACTAGTTTCAATTGTGTAAGACAAGATAACACGGCTAGGTTGAAATGTGTAAGACAAGATAACACGACTAGGTTGAAATATGTAAGACAAGATAACACGACTAGGTTGAATTGTGTAAGACAAGATAACACGACTAGGTTGAAATGTTTAAGACAAGATAACACGACTTGGTTGAAATATGTAAGACAACACGACTAGGTTGAATTGTGTAAGACAAGATAACACGACTAGGTTGAAATATGTAAGACAAGATAACACGACTAGGTTGAATTGTGTAAGACAAGATAACACGACTAGGTTGAAATGTGTAAGACAAGATAACACGACTAGGTTGAAATATGTAAGACAAGATAACACGACTAGGTTGAAATATGTAAGACAAGATAACACGACTAGGTTGAAATGTGTAAGACAAGATAACACAACTAAGTTGAAATATGTAAGACAAGATAACACGACTAGGTTGAAATATGTAAGACAAGATAACACGACTAGGTTGAATTGTGTAAGACAAGATAACACGACTAGGTTGAAATGTTTAAGACAAGATAACACGACTTGGTTGAAATATGTAAGACAACACGACTAGGTTGAATTGTGTAAGACAAGATAACACGACTAGGTTGAAATATGCAAGACAAGATAACACGACTAGGTTGAATTGTGTAAGACAAGATAACACGACTAGGTTGAATTGTGTAAGACAAGATAACACGACTAGGTTGAAATGTGTAAGACAAGATAACACGACTAGGTTGAAATATGTAAGACAAGATAACACGACTAGGTTGAAATATGTAAGACAAGATAACACGACTAGGTTGAAATGTGTAAGACAAGATAACACAACTAAGTTGAAATATGTAAGACAAGATAACACGACTAGGTTTCAATTGTGTAAGACAAGATAACACGGCTAGGTTGAAATGTGTAAGACAAGATAACACGACTAGGTTGAAATATGTAAGACAAGATAACACGACTAGGTTGAAATGTGTAAGACAAGATAACACAACTAGGTTGAAATGTGTAAGACAAGATAACACGACTAGGTTGAAATGTGTAAGACAAGATAACACGACTTGGTTGAATTGTGTAAGACAAGATAACACGACTAGGTTGAATTGTGTAAGACAAGATAACACGACTAGGTTGAATTGTGTAAGACAAGATAACAATTGTGTAAGACAAGATAACACGACTAGGTTGAAATGTGTAAGACAAGATACTAGGTTGAAATATGTAAGACAAGATAACACGACTAGGTTGAATTGTGTAAGACAAGATAACACGACTAGGTTGAATTGTGTAAGACAAGATAACACGACTAGGTTGAAATATGTAAGACAAGATAACACGACTAGGTTGAAATGTGTAAGACAAGATAACACGACTTGGTTGAATTGTGTAAGACAAGATAACACGACTAGGTTGAATTGTGTAAGACAAGATAACACGACTAGGTTGAAATGTCTTGTGGATAAAATTCCGCTCATTCTTCCATGTTGTCGTTCTGATATTTCTATAACATTTTACACGTATAGACAGCCATCTTTATAAGTATGTTTGTGTTGATAAAATGAATGATTTTTATACTGATGGGACTTCTACCTTTGTTTTACACTGGAGTTTTATTGTAATATGAAGTTAATGTTGCCTTTTTCCCCTTTAATGCCATTTCGTAATATAAGAATCTTCGCCATCAGTGTATGGTTTAAACTATATAGGCTATTTCTCGTTTTATATGTTTAGTTCGTAAGTGTGGTCGTGGTTCCAAATGCCCGTATGTTGCGTTTAGAAGACCCTTCGCCCATGATGCTGGTACAAATCCATGCCATTGGAGTATTTGATAAGGAGAGGAATCCCGGCTATACAGCAAAACTAAATAAAAGCTTTAGGGAAAAGCTAAATGTACCCGCTAAAAGGTATTTATAGAAATTTGACCCAATTATTCCTTATATTATACTATCACCCTAACTTATAAAACAATCAATAGAAGATCTTTTATATAAAACCTTCATATACGCTATTCATTTTGCGTCTTTTGTACAAACCTTTAAGATGTGCTATTTAATTGAGTTTCTTTTGTACAAACATTTGCTATGCACTTGTACCTTGTACAAACCCTTGAATAGTGATATTCACTTGTGCCTTGTATAAAACATCGAAAGGTACTATTCACTTGTGTCTTGTACAATCCTTTCTGTTCTACCATGTATGCGCAACATTCTATTGTTTTCGTGTGTACAACACTTAATTAGCCGTACATTACACTAGCAATACACCGTCTGTATGTCTTTGAATATTTATTTCGATAAATTATACATTTCAGGGTGATCCTTCACTATTTTCACGTGGAACAACATATGGTTGGTTATGTGGATTGACGACCCATTTTTACATACGAAATTCATTTGTGATTGTCAATAAACCTAAGCGAAGAATGTGTTTTCTTTTCAAAGTTTGTATGAAGATGTAAAGATTTGCTATTAACATTTATGCGTCTTTTGTACAAACAATTGAAAGGTGTCACTAACTTACTGTAAAATCATGATGTTGACATTACAGTTCTTAATAGAAATTAAAGTAATCGATGTTCTGTTGTAGTATGTATATCTCCTTACATACGTTTTTGACATTGACTACAGATGGATCGCAAACCGCAGGGAAGATTCTAATGTTTGCCTATTCAATAATCTTTTCCAATGGTTTGAGGGATTGAGATCCTCTTATCTCATCCACAAGGATCCGAGTAAATGAATGTTTTCCTACCCTTAGGACCTTTTCATATATGTAATGTTCTTTACCTCATTGCTTGGAATTGTAGATGTGACCTCATTGAATTGTTGACGTGGGGTCATTTGATTGTTATCGTGACGTCATTCTATTGTCACGACAGGTACCCTGTCTCCACCATAAGGTATAACATGAAAATAATAGTTGAATCATGGATACGCATGTCTAGTGTGATATAATAAAATAGTACAAGTTATAATACTAAATCCGGTTATGAAACCCAAATATGATATTTGCTTGTTGATAATGTAGGTAACAATACCCCTACCGTGGACACTTAGTTTTCAATGGGACTGGTAATTTAACTTAAACTATTCACCAATTTACCAAGAGAGCATTGTGAGAGGACATACATTTAATGTGATAGTGGTGATGATGTACATTCATGTTTTTAGTGTCATCTGATGGAGTGATTGAAAATGAAAACCATGTGAAACAATGTGAAGCCATGTGAAGCACGAACTCCATTGAAAATAATTACTTTATCCAATATACATTTGTATACTTAGCAGAGCCAAATTATATTTTCAGTCAAAACATCGGTAAGTCCACGATCTTACCCCATTTTCATGGGGTAATCATTCAACGATAACGAGAAATTTAATAAGAAAATCAGAATGGAACTTCTCCATTTGAACCGAGGTAACCTCTATTGGACAAATCAAAACGAAACGGCGTTTCTGAAAAAAGTAAGCGAGAAGAATTTTCAAGCAAAAACAATCGTCGACAAGGAATAAAGATCCATTGACCTTGATGCGCAACTGCCAAAACACTGACGTTCGTCGGTTAGACGCCCAGTGGTAGAAAAAATCACGAAGACTGAAAACATGTAATTAACCAACCGATTTGGAATTTGATGCAAAAACTCTAAATGGCCGTAATTTCCTTTCTGGGGGCAAATCAATTTTCTAATACTCCAAGGGCATGACATAACATCTCCGCTTGGTAACTGGTTGCTCTGAAGTTGTCATCAATATTTCACGCGTTGCCAACAACGGGAAAAGAGTGTTATTTAATACTAGAGTATCGGATTGACCAATCTTAGTGACCAGACTGTTGTATAGATGACTAAATGCTTTGTCCCATGCATTTCTAACTGTTTCTAACTAAGCAAGTTAACTGATATAATAATGGTATTTCCTTCGTTACTTCAATTACCAACATAACATGCAAGTCAGCCTGTTTAGATCAATGCAATATATTTGCAATTCAATCCTTCAGCGAAAGAAAAAAAATCAGCTAATTGTTATTGACATTCACGTAACCGCTTGTATGTTGTTTGGTAACTGATACTTTCTGCTGTCGCTACACAGCGTGGTGGGGAAACAAAACTGTCGGTAGAACCCTATTAACATAGTATCATGAGTTTGTGTCATCCTTTCTTCCTGCCAATCTTTCCGTTATAGCTAGCAATGTCGTGGGAATAATAAGTCCTCACACACATGTAACGACCCCAACATGTACATATATTGGGCACTAATTTCGTTCACGGTGATATTATACTCATACGGTAACATGACCTGTTCAAGGAATTCCTTTTGAATACCAGAATACCAGACATAAACTGACGATAAATCACGTGCAAACCAGAAAAAATATAATAATAATAATAATAACAAACAAGCAAAACCAAAACAACTCCCCCCCCCCCCCCAAAAAAAAAAAAAAAAACAAAAAAACAAAAAAAAAAAAAAAACACAAACAAACAATCAAACAAAGATACGAAAACATTGAGTAATAAACATTTGATAATTTATTTGAACAATTCTCTTTCCCTCCTAAATACATTATCACTTAATTATCCGAAAAGCATGCAAGCTACCTAGAAGAAGTGCAATGTATTTTGATTCATAGATGGAAATGCACATGAATGAATGTATGAAAAGGATATGGACGACGACGCTAAAGCGGACGACGATGACGGTGATGCTGTTGTTGATGATGATGCTGCTGCTGCTGATGATGATGATATGAAACATCACGAAAGCAACAGGAATTTTACATTTTTAAATAGACATATTTAATCTGTTTAGTTTGGTGTCAGCTGGGGTTGTGATATCTATAGTAGTCTGCCCTACCAAGTAGGTCACAGCTTGTCCTGTTAATGCACAAACACACATACACTTAGGTTGCGTTTACATACGATCTCATACCAGCAGCTAAACCTATCGGCTACAGTATTTTATTTGGATCTTCTTTGTATATATCAAACAATACTAACATAATTTTACACATAACATGAGCTAGCATAAGCTAACATCTACTCTCGAATCAGCTGGGTCCGGTTTATCTCTCATTGTGTGACCTACTCTGAACCTACAGGTAGACTATCCTTTATATCATCAACCATCAGCAAGGGCACACAGTCATCCCTTGTGACAGTCCCTACAAGTCAACATGCCGTTCATTATGTGTTACACCAACCTTTCCAAGGACAAGATACCACAGGATTTTGTGGAGTGGATATCTGAGCTTGTCAGTGATGTGCTGGACAAACCAATGGAGGTAGTCAAATATTCTTGTTTGTATAATTTAGATATATGTACAGCCTGTAACAACTTTAGGTAGAATGTGCGAGTTATTAATTGTGTTTTGAAGTTAGTCAGCATAGACAGCTTAACACTGTTTTGTGTTCATCGTATGTTAACCATGTATGTTGTTTAGGTCAATCAGATGTAACACGTTTTTATCACATAAACTATTCTATAGCTCAGGAATGTGACGTGACCTCAAATAACGACTTTTCACAGTTGTTGTAAACCTAACCTGATTCAAACTCACTGACGGCAGGGTTACAGCTACCGACTAGGCTTAAAACGATATAGATAGCTTTGTCCTAAATATCTTTTGCATATCATAGGTCAAAAGGTGCAGATAATCAATGTAAATGTTTTTTCAGCATTATATACGATGATTGATAAGATGTGAGCATTGAATTGAAAAAGTTAAGCGGGAATGTCCTTTCTCGGCTCTACTATTTCCTGACTATTTTAAGGCTATATTCCCGAAGACTGCTGTCATTTGGTCAATTTATGTCCAAGGGGTAGCACTCTAATGTAAACAAGTCTTTTACATAATGGACAAAATCGCTACAAGAGTAGTGATTCAATATTTGCATAAGAAATGTCTAGCATCTAAGAATATTCATACTGATATAGTAACAACACTTGGGAAGGATGCCCTTTTATAAGTTACAGTGAAAAGGTGGGTGGCAGAATTAAAGCCGGTCAGGCAGAGCCTTCGGGATGACGCATTTCCCGGAGGTCTGTGACTATTGCTACTCCAGAAATTGTCAATTAAGTCCATAATATTGTCATGGCTAACAGGAAAGATATAGCCAGTACAGTTGGGATTTCAAAGTACATTCCATTCCATTGAGAAAACTCAGCTCATTGATCAGAAGCACACAGACGTACTTTGTTGCGTGATAATCTGAACCATTTAGAGAAAGATCATGCTAACTTTCTGCAGAGGTTTGTGACTTTGGATGGAACATGGGTCCATTATTTCATCCTAGAGGCCTAACAACAGTCTAAACAATGCAAATACCCTGGTTCACCCCCGCCAAACTTAGAAAATTGAGGATCTTAAACATTTCTAGTAAAATATTTAGATACTGAATGGAATTATGTTACAAAATAATGCAATATGTCCGCCAAAAGTTAAACCCTTCAATATAAGGCTCATAAAAATCACCCCTCGTAGATCTAAACTTCCTTTCTATTTCTATTCACGATTGACATTGATATCTTTCGACCAGAACGCTATAAATGCTTTATTGATACTAAATTGCCATTTATCATTGTATAAGAAAACAATTTACAAGGGTATTGATGTGACTTACAGTGCGTGTCGTTAATTGAAGTATCTACATTTTGAGCCGAGTTTTTTTTAAATGCACCACAGGTTATTCTGATTTACACTTGTGCGATTACTTTGGTTACAGATAATAACTTATTATAGATAATGTGACTCGTATAGGTGTCTTTATCTTGTCTTGTCTTTATCTGTATATAGTACCTAGACTATGTTGGAAACATAGTGGCACTATCTCCAATACATGTAAATATACTCGATTTTTTCAATTATCCAATGCTATTGAAGTATGTGGTTCATGCACATTTAAGGGTATATTTTAACATTGACAATGTATCTCGATCAAAGGATTTGGATTTCCTATCTCACCTTATAGGCTCCTACACTATAGGCTCCTAGCATCAGTGATGAGTCTTAGCTATAATGATGCAGTTTAATGCTTTATTGAAAGGTTCTAAATGTTTGCAATCAGTACATTAAATCCTGTGAGACACGAGAAAACAATGGATATCCACCAATTCTTTACACGGAACACAGTACATATACATAAAGTTAAAACTGATTAATTGAAAATGAACAATTTCCAAATATTGACACCGCAAACGTTATAAGCTTCAAAACTGTGATAAATACCATCTATTGTTGTTTATGTCAAAACGAAATCTATTCACAGAGCATTATTAACTTTTGATACTACGATTAATTAAACAATGTAACACATTGTTAAACTAAGTGGCTAAAAATCGAAAACTAAGAAAGTGTTGTCTCGGAATATCCAGACTGGAATGACGGAGTCGATAGGTATTCTTACAGCTGTGTATTTAGCACGCCATTTCATCAATTGTTTAGGTATTCTATATTACTGCGCGTCTATTACTAGTGAAATCATTTCAAGGAGGACCTATGCTCTTTATTTTGTATCTTTATGTTGAATATGATACAGATTTGAAATAAGATAGAGTAAGAAAATGGTCATCAACGCAAAGAGAATACCATAGACTCAATCTAATATCAAATCGGATGTACGGTTGTCTTAGGAGATGGATACTAGTAACTCTTTACTCTAGCTCTTATAATGACACAGAATACTTAATGACAACGGTGGTTGTTGCAGAGGATCACCACCACGGTGATGCCAGATATGATGATGATGAGGATGAGTACGTCCGACCCTACAATGATTGTCCAAATCCACGCCATTGACAGATTTGATGCTGAACGGAACCCCTCCTACACCGAGAAACTGAACAAAGCCATACACGAGAAACTTAATATGCCAGCTAACAGGTCAGTATATTAATGATTTTCTAAGATTTTTTTACGATCTCTCTAATAGATTAATATTAGAGTTTTAGAGAATGTTTTAAACTCTACGCATATCGTCTTATTTCTTAAATCATTCGTAGCGATAGACTCTGCACGTTTTATAAGTAAACAGATAAAATACTCAGAACAAACCACTGTACCCAGCATTTTATAGAAGTTGAAAAACCGCTTTCATGTAATCTCTCTTATATAGTATCGCATGTTCTTAGCTGTGGAAGACAACGATGACTTTTCTCTATGTTCTATATGAGAGAAAAGTATCGGTATATGCTGCCATGCGTCTGAATTACATTTGATGAGCAACTGCAACAAATTGTCTTTTGACCACGTTCTGAAGTACATGTATATGGAAAGGAAACATATGGGGAGAACATACCACCTAGGAGTTAAAGTGTAACGTCCGAGGATGTTATAAAATTATCATCATGTTTTTATTTTAATTATCGAAGTATCGCTTTTTCTATTCTATTAAAACAGTATTGATGATTGTTGTTAGATTTGTTTATTTTAGTTTGATATTATGTAATAATGGAACTATTTGTCATTACAGGGTCGTCTTTCAGTACTTTCCAGTCGATAAGACGATGGTTGGACTCGGACTTTGATTATGGAAGTGATGAACAAAAAACAGAAAAACACATTATTGGTAATCATTGTTGTGTGTTGGTAGCATAAATACATGGTCGGCTATACGCATAAATGATGAGTTGACAGGCGAGAGGGACTCCTCAATATTTCACGACATACGGAGTACACAATGACGTATTTATGGTTGGAAGCAGAAGACATGTACTCATTTGTTTTATTGAATTTGTGTTTAGATTATGTTCACATGTTGCATTTTCTTCTTGTTTCTTTAACATTTTTTCAAAATTTATTTGCCACAAGAATAAGTGTAATTCAAATATATCGATGAAAATATTTTAGATATTTCGTATTACGTTAACGAACGCTTACATTATACTGGCACCAGTGTAATCATAATACTAGATAGCAATGTCTCCAATACAGCGACAATATTGAAATATATATTGAAACAATCTTGTGAAAAGAAACATTGTCCGTTTGTGTGTGTATAAACCGTTACACAAATAGAAATCCCACTAGTCTTAAGAATTTGATCCAATCCTTTGTTCTATACACTTATATTTCCACCAACTTTAATTTTCAGAAAGACATTTCAATTCCTGATTTCATATTGTTGTCATATATTTATTTGTATTAATTACTATATTAGTTATGATTAAGATAATTCATATTTGTATTGTATATAGGTATAGTTGGTAGGTAACAGTATAGTGGTATTGTATGACCGACTGTTACGTATTACACGTTATAGTCCGTTCACTGTGTTAACGGTAGTTGCGACTTCTACAGGGCATGTATTTAATAAATATATCAATGTAATTGGTGATAAGTCTTCCTGTTTATAATTGTAACAATTATCCTTTATTAAAACAAGAAATACAGAGAATACATAGATATCTATTCAGTTTCTTCGACGAGATGCATTGATTTGATTGTACACATTGGTACCTACGTTGGTGCTTACTCGACCAAACAAACCTACGGACACCACCAGGTCTAACAACCCCATGTCCGTAGAGGGGATGGACGGGGTGTAAGATCATGTGTTCCGAAGTGGGACTGCCAAACTTTCGTTCTGGTAAGTGAGGACCTCTGAAAAGGGTCTTCAGAAATCTAGATATTCTTATTTTTCGGAAATGCGTTTTCGCCTTAGTCGTTTTCCGCATGATGACTTCGATGTTCCCTTACACTTGAGCAGGTTACAAATCTGCATGTAGAAGTTCCCCTGATACGTGCGTAAACGTCATCGCTAGCGAGGTATTCCGCTTCATAGACGACACATTCATGTAAATCTTTCTATATCCAAGAAAATAATGGTATGTTCTCGAATGAGAACATGGTTTACAACAATGGAACCAACAGTCAAGTTTACGAGCATCAGATTTATAGCTCAATGAGTTTTATAAACCTGCATCTCTTGAACCGTGTCAGTTAATACGTTGCTGAAAAAAGTAACATTTGTTTGGTTGAATAGCTGGACGAGTCAGCAATAATACGCCGTTTGAATGGGGTCTTTTACAGTTTAGAAATCCTAAATAAACGGAGGAGGTCTGTATCATTATCATTAATAAGCAATCTGTATGATTTTGATACTGTAGCAAGATTGGCTATCATTTCTGCCTTAATTGCAACGATCACAAGATTGCATAATGTATATGTGGGGTTTCCTTTCTTATCAAGTAAGCTTAGCTCTGTGTATGTAGGAAATTAAACCATGTGTGCAGACAAGGATCAAGTTATTTGACGCATTATCTGCAGGCTTAATAACACACCTGTCATGTACAATCTTCAAGTGTCGATTAAACAATACTTCATTAATATTGTACCAAATGGAAAATCTGAAAATGAATTCACTGCAGCATGTTCTCTTTTCATCCTCTCTAGAAGTTGAGAGAGCAGGTCACATCACTAGCATCGGCTTGTGGGATTTTTTCCCTTTTTATTCGAGCGTCTACAGAGAGAATAGCTTGTTCGAACGTTATAGAGGGATAAATTGTTTTTCTTCATTCCTCTCTACTTCATGTCTTTCCAATACTGAAGAAGATGTTTAAAATGTTTAATCGTAAAATCAAGATATTACACCAGGAATATGCTTCTCGAAATTATAAATACAACCCCAATCCCTCCAACCCTTGCCGATATAGACAATATAGTTTATCTATAAAAAGCAAAGCAAAAACCAAAGGCGAATAAAAACCAAACGAAAACGACAAGTCTTGACAAACATACCATTAATAGTTGAAATAAAACGCAATTTGTCTAACTTAATTATATGTATCTACAAAGTATGTTTGCAAGTACAGGCTACCTTGAAACAGTCATCAGTACAATGTTTTTTTGCTTCATAGGTAAATGATAGAGAAAACAATAGTGAGGATATGGACGACGATGAGGACGTTTATGATAATGCAGTAAATACGAAAGCACCAGGAATTCTACAATTTTGACGAGATGTTGTAAATAGATAAACAACTTTATTACTTTATATCACATACACTTTGGTTGGTTTAGCACATATTTCATGTATGATTACATTATAAATTCAAAACTCTTGCTTCAGCTTGGCCCATTTATTTACGGGTAGAATATCATATATCACCAACCTCTACCAAGGACACCCGGTCATCTCTTGTGACAGTCCCTACAAGTCAGCATGCCGTTCATTTGCTGCTATACCAACCTCTCCAGGGACAAAATACCACAGGATTTTTTTGAATTGAAACGTGCCAATTTGTTACAACGTGCTTTCATGATTCTTAATAAATTGATTATGAGTGATTATGCGAGGTTTGACCATGACGATTCAGAAATGGAAGCGCTAATGAATAATTAGACATGTTTTTTAAAGTTAATTTAGACAAAATTACTTTATAAAGACTTTATCATGTGTTATTTTGTATGTTTCTTGCTATTTTATTCGTATCCCGTACATCGCTTGGCGTAGATTGAAAAACTCAGATAACATGAAACTACTTAAGGGGAAGTCACTCTTGCAAACACCTATATGGCATAATGATAATGTAGTTATTGGTGGCAAACCTGTTTTTTTTATCCAAGATGGTATGAAAAAGGCATTTACTTAATAGGAGATTTCATTAAGGACTACAACTTTCTTTACATATGATGTATTTATACATAAATAAGACATTGCCAGAGTCTTTTTAAAATATAATTAGAATAATTAGGAAATCTTTATAAAACGATTACCTTTGGGAATACAAACTAACTCGTCCTGTTCTACCAGTCAACATTGCTATATTTCTAAAGCGGCCTAAAGGTTCAAAAGTTTTTTATGAATTATTAAGTAATATAAACACTCTAGTTGCTAAAGGCAAAGAAAAGTGGGGAGAGACCTTTGATTTTAACGAGGATGACTGAAAGAGTACATATGCAATGCCTTTTCAAATTACTAAAAACTCCAAACTTCAGTGGTTACAGTTTAGAGTATCTCTCCATATTCTAACCACCAATTCCCCTTTTTTAAAAGCAAAACTTGTAGATAGTCCTCTCTGTAATCTTTGTAACTCAGAAAGAGAAATCAAAACCTTTTTCAAAGTTAAGAATTGTTATTAGAAGCTCTTTTTATTCCGTTTTCTTTAAACAAACACATCCTACTTTTTGGCAAGATCAATACTAAAACCTCTGCATTATATAAACCTGACAATCAAATCATTTTACTGAATAAACAATATATATACAGAACTAGATGCCTACGCAAGTCACTGAATAGTAATGCTCTGATTTTTACTACATATGACCATTATAAAGTTCAAAAGTACATTTCTAACACAAATGGGGAAATAGCTAAAGAGGAGGTTGTAAATGATTGGAAGAAGTGTGAAAAATTAATGCAAATGTTACATTGACACATTTATTACCTACACATATTGTATTGTCTTGTCAAAAGGTTAAGTAAACTTCAGTTAGTGTCTCCAGTCCTTGCCAAATACCCTTTTGTGCAGTATTTATATACAAAAGCATATATAATTTTTCATGTATCAAATATCCACCACCAGCCAGTATCATGTAGCTTCAGGAACATAAATTTTACTTATTACTCTTTATCTCCATGTCTCTTCCTCTCTCGCTTTATCTCGCTTACTCTCTCTCAGGCTGTGTTTTTGTAGATGTGCATGTCTATATGTCTGTTATGAACACAAATGTGTATGGATGAGACGATGGGCAGATATGTAAGGGATTGCTTGTATGTGTGATAATGATGAAATAGATGATTATTTAGATGATGATGGGAATGATGCAGGTGGAGATGGTGATGAGGATCATCATCATAATTGTCATCATGATAGGATTTGATGCAGGCGATGGTATGAATGATGATGACGATGATGATGCTCATGATGATGCTCATGATGATGCTTCGGATGATGATACATGTAAGGACGAAATGGATGATGATGATGATGATGATGATGATGATGATGATGATGCTTCGGATGATGATACATGTAAGGACGAAATGGATGATGATGATGATGATGATGATGATGATGCTTCGGATGATGATACATGTAAGGACGAAATGGATGACGATGATGGTGATGATGATAATGATGATGTTACGGATGATGATTCATGTAAGGACGAAATGGATGATGATGATGATACATGTATGGATGATGATGATGATGATGATGATGATGGTGGTGGTGGTGGTGGTGATAAAAAATCATTACATGTATGTGTGCATGAATGTATAAAAATATATGCATGGATGAGAGTGTTTCATGTTATTTTGTAAAATATCTTGTAAAAATAAAATAATCATAAGCAGACAGTATGGCAGTGGAAGGTTTTGATAGTTTTGTTTAGTTTTGCTTATGGTGTAATAAAATAGTGGACTTGTATACATGACTTTTTGTACTACAGGATCGCCTTTCAGTACTTTCCAGTCGACAAAACGATGGTTATAGAAGTTTATGAAAAAAAAGAAAGAAAAACATTCATATTTTAATCAGATTGATGTATATTGGTACCATAGATATAGGGCAGCAAAACATACATTTTAATATTTTCTATAAACGATGGAATGACAGACAAGAGGGATTCTTCGATTTACAACATGCAGAGTAGCAGTGGAGCAGAAGACGAATTCTCTTCCGGAACGTCTTGTTTCAGGAGTCTCTGTGTGGGTCTTTCTTTTGTTCATATCTTACCTTATTTAATTTAATGAAAGTTTTATATTAGGATTATGTTGACTTCTTGGTATTTCTCAAAATTTACATGAAACAAAAATGAGTTGCATGTCATGTCATGTAAGGGTGCGTGCACACATCTACTGAACGGGCACAAGTTTAATCATATTCTTAAATCTTGTCCACAAAGAGATACTGAAATACACAGAAATATAAATTTAATTGGTGTTAAGAATTTGATATATTCTTTTGTTCTCGACATCTTTATTCAAAATGAAAGTACAACCACTGATTTCGTATCGTACTGAGAGAAATGTTTATTTGTATTCTTTAAATGCTAAGATAAGTCCATGATTAAGTAAATTCATATTTGCATTGTGGATATCTAAAGTTGATAGGTCACTGTATAGTGACATAACAGTACTAAATAGTGTAATATCACTTGCTATGTTTACATGTATGTGGGATGTTTAAAGACTGGAGAGTTGTGATATTCTATTTGTATGTAAATCGTTTGTATATAATGTATAACCGACTGTAAGTAAACGTATGTGTTTTCGATACAACAAAGAAAAACAACTGAGCTAAGGTTATTTGTGTTTGTTTCAGAGCATTTCAATAAACACAATTTTGTATTAAAACATCTTGTTTAAAAGTAAAACAGATATCCTTTAATAAAAACTGCAAACAATCCGTTGATACAGTTTTAGTTTCTTTGATTAAATGCCTCCTTTTGATTGTGCCCATTGGTATCTAAGTTAGTGTATACTCGACCAAACAAACCAGCGGACACCACCGGGTCTGATAACCCTGTGTCCACAGAGAGGATGGACGGGGTGTAAGTCCATGTGTTCTTGAGTGGCACAGCTAAGGATCCGTTCTGATAAGTTAGAACTTCCGGAAACACGTAAGGGCTTGAAAAATTTCCAGATATTCTAATGTTTCGGAAATGCGTTTTCGCCGCAGTTGTTGGTTTCCCACATGATGACTTCGTTATCCCTTGACACTTCAGCAGGGTACACACCTGCATGTAGTAAGTCCCCTGATACGTATGTAGTCCATCAAACGCTCCAAAAGCGTAAACGTCACCGCTAACGAGGTCTCGTTCGTAATGAAGAGAGCAACAAAGAGCGTTGTTGCAGACGCTGACCGTACCAGCAGAAGCGCCATCCAACTGTTTGAATGTGTAAAGATCATGAAAGACAAAGGATCGAAATGTGGATTCTGCGCGCATTCCAGTGATCATCATATTGCCGAATACTTGTGGCGACAAAGGTACCGTTGGATTCTGTGTCCAATGCACAACTGATAACTCTGTACCAGATGTTGCAATGGGAATTCGGGGCAGTCGAGGGGTAAATGGAGAAGTACTAACTGATTCCGACCTTATTATCGGTACATCTGAGATAAGTAGCTGTCCTCGCGCATGTCTGTCGTTGTAGTAGTAGGTCAGGACCCCATCAGGGGTGTAGATACCACTGCCATGGAACCTCATCAGCGGCCAGTTTATGTTTGCCGCCAGGAAATTAAGACCCATACCTCTGGCAAAGGCGGAATGAAACTGGACTGCCCCAAGGAGGGGGAGAGCATCCATCCAGGCAGTTGGGAATACAATGTTTCTGACCCCGCGGTTAATAAGGTCAATCGCGGGGTCATGGAATATGATATCAAAACAAGTGAATATGCCAAATAATCCGAAAGGTGTGTCGAACGTTACAACTTCGGTAACTGGCGGGAAGTCAAACTGATACTCAAAGAACAGATTTTCTTTGTGGTATTTGGCTATCAGAGTACCCAATGGGTTATATACGACATCAGTGTTGAACTGGAAATGACCGTCGATAGGACAACTTGGATATGTATCTTGAGAACACGGCTGTTTATCGCCAAAGTTTGCAACGATGAACATCGAGTTGTTTTTCGCCAAACAGCTGAGAAAATGCTGTACTTCGGTGTTGGGATATCGATTTGGCTCTGCGCATGCGCTCCATGACTCGTTCTTGGGATCAGGGATATATTCAAGGTAGGAAGATAAAGCTTTCCTGGTGAAACCCATACCATAGATTCCGTCTTCAGGAAACACTATTATATCCACGCCCTGGTAACACATGGAACAGCAAATACAAGTGATAGGACAAGAAAGGGTAAATTCAGTTTGTATTTCTGTTAACAGAGATGATCGCATCAAGGATCACAGTTATTGGTATTGTTTGAACAAAAGCAATTTCAATTTTCTTTGATCAGTAAACTGTTTGGTACCAATGAACAAAATAAGAGAGAAGATTACAGATCAAGATATCGACGAAAATTTACGACGGAACGACAGGATTCCATAGACGCTATGCTTTTTGTGTTTGAAGAATCTGATTCTTTTATAAAAACAAATATCGCTTTTATGGATTCCCAGACGGTGCTTAAAAACGTCATTTTTTTTTAAAATTTGTCTTCAAGATTGTAATTCATATTGATGATAAATACAATATGACGACCGGTTAGTGGTTGATTATCACATGCATAATCATAGTAGACTGTAGACAACAGTTTTTATAAATCATTATTCGCGTTTTAATTGTGTTACAGACCATAACAAACTATTTTCTTATACTAATTTTACAACGATAATATTTTCTCGGTACAGTGAACTTAAGTGTACAACATGTTCTCTGACGATTCAAAAGGATAATCAATGTAATTCTAGGCAGTCGCCTTGTTTGTGAGTAGTTTCACTCTGATGAATATAATCAGCATTGCTGAACGGCTGTGTTGCCGCCCCTCATCACTGTAACAAGCATAACATGTCATTTTCTGCCAATTTTGTAAGTTTCGACACAGAGGACCTGGCATGAGTGTCGATGTTACACAAAATTTAACGACTTCAATAAATTCCATGTTACATCGGAACAGCAGGCTAGTTATGCGATAAGAAATATTCCAGTATGATTTATCTCAGCTACATGTAGAAGTATTTGAAATCATTACTCTTATCGCCAAAAACGACATTTTGTGGTGCCTTTCCAGTAGAATGTTCGATTCTTCTGTAGTTAACTGAGCATATAGTGTGTGTGGCTTGAGTAAATCATATTCCAATGGTTAGGTACTTTTACAGTCAGTTCTAATAGATTGTATTGCGAGATATTTTTTTATCGCGTCTAAAGAATTCAAATTGAAGATTATTATAAGGTACACCTTTAAATTGATTACCTGGCGAGACGCTGTCTCCACGTGATCACGGTATATATTCAGGTTTTTCATCATGTGTTTGAGGGCCGTCGCCCTGGAAACTGATGAATTCTCGTGTCGGACATCGGACAGAATGACGGCATGTTCATACACCGCCGCTCTGAATGTGGCTCTCTGCAGCTCTTCAGCATCACAAGATACCAAAACGAGAACTACGCATAAAAAGTTCTTTATGAAAGCTACCATTCTTACTATCCACGTCTGTAAGAACAGCGGTCGTTTAATTCACCTGGTGCTCGGCAACAACTGATATGGACAGCATTTCGTAACGTCATATTTATGTATATGTGCCCTATAGTGTAAAATTTCCTCGTAAAAGATTATTTTTGTATCTGACTCATAAGGATCAAAGTTCGTGTTTATCTTAAAGTGTGATTTTTTTTAATTTGCAGTTGGAACCATGGCAGTCAAGATGACGAAATACGAACAGAGTACAAAGTCCAAACGAATTGTTTAGTTCTAGTTACTGACCCTACAACTGCTAACGCCCAGATAAACACGAGGATCGCTGTGACAGAAATGAATTTATCAAGGAAAATTGTATTAAAGATACATGTAAATCAATATCTTTCGATAACTAAACTCTGATCTAATACTATTACGTTTACACAGGAACCCGGATATGTATTCAATCTGAAACATAAAAATGGTAGTTCTCGATAAATCATTTCTCTGTGATTACAAGGAATGTTAAAAAAAGACAATATATATTTTCTCCGTTTCCAGTTTAATTTTTTTTTATATATATATATTTTATCTTCAGTGGTAGACACAAAAACATTTTGGATAATGCTCCGCAGTTTTTAACACGAAACCTCTAAACAGAAAGTCCTATCTTAACTGAGAGTCGCAAGCAGAAAAAGGTTTTTCATTAATGACCACCAATGAAGAGTATCGTGGATTTATGTAATGACCAACACTGATGTATACAGCGTATGGAGCAATCAACACTTCCCGCTTTCTGAGAAAATTAAACACCACTAGTATTTCAGCTTCCGCATTAATGAGTGAAAATCATACTTAGTTTGTATTGGTTTACTACATTAATATTTCCCTATGTTTAAGCCTTATTCCACGGTCCAATGAAGCCAGACTTCACGTCAATATAACAATGATAAATCATTTGCGCTATCGAAAATACACTAAAATTACTAAATTACATAATTTGTTTATCATACTTGAATAGATAATGTAAAGAGGTTTTTTTATCGATTTTATGTTAGAGAGGAAGGTTTGATATACATTTCGTGCTACTATCACTAACATGTAGTTTGAAATATTGAACAGTTCATATCTGAGAATATATGTGGGAAATTGTTTATGTTGTATTTTACAGGGACTTGGCACGAGACTCCACCCACGGTCCACTAAACATATAGTCATAGACTGTAGGTTGGGAATCCGTGCAAATCTCTGTGCTGGAATACCCATGTATTTCAATGATGATAACAGCGATCTAGCACAATATATGTATATATACATTCTAGACTTGGGTAGATGAAAGTAGTTCCCACAAATATAACCGTTTTTGTTTGATAATTTAGTTCAATAATATAGATGTATGAAATGCATGTAAAAATGTACTTCTCCGCTTTTCAGTCTTTGATTGTAGGTCTTATTCGACTTTAACAACTCCAAAAGGAGAAAAAAAAATAAAGTGAAATTAAATACATTGTAAAGAAAGCTCGGCTTTGCATATAAATTGTGTCTTTTTAGATATATGCAAATTTACAAAGTATCTCTTGATATTAGTGTAATGATGATTAGAATTTGATTACCTTTCATTTTTTTAAGTCAAATTTACTTTGTATCCAATTCGAAAAATAACATATTCATAACTTAAAATATTTGCCCACATGTTTAGTTAACGGGAAGGATTACACTTGTGGCCATGCTAACAGATTTGAAAAAATGTTTAATCTTTTACTAACGGTCGTTGCTCGTTTATCTTCAGTTATATTCAAATAACCACTCCATTTGAAGTGTTGATATTGTTATAACTACCGTAACGTTGATATGGAAAATAAAGTATCGATAGTTATTGTGAGACGGATGAGGGTGGGTGTGTATGTGTGGTGTGTGTGTGTGTGTGTGTTATGTTTGTGTGTATAATTAAGAATATCAATTTTGCGAGGAAAAACTCTTTAAATTCGAAATCCTGTACTGTAGTTCCTTTAACTAAAGCATATGCAGTAGCAACACAATTGTAGGCGTGATCAAAAGATATTGTATCTTAAATAAACCTCGTTGAAGTTGCTCATTGCATCAATATCCCACTTACAAGTTTTCAGATAAAAATCACCTACGTTATCCCTTCGAGGACCCCATTAATGTAGTACATCCGTGTTGCCTCGTTTTCGCAAGCAATGGCAGCGCCCATGAACTGTTGTCGTTCTGATACACATTCAGGAAAATACGCTGCAGTTGCCTAGTCATGTACGTATTTTGCTTTGGCCGCCATGCACTTTTATTCATACTTGCATAGGATATACCGTGATCACCACATCAGACATTGACACTTTGTACTTGTATTGTAAACATGTTGAGAAAGACATTGTTAGTTACCACTGTAGTGGGCGTGGTGAGTGTATTATATGCCTATGGGTACCTAGCTCCATATACCCGCATGTTGATGCGATATATACCAGACAATGTAAAGTCTACAATGGCGCGCTTCATCGACCTCTCTGACAGCAAAGGGATAAAGCCTTCAGACAGGATATTTACCAAGGATGAGTTGTGGAAATACCGCGGGGAGGACGGCGGCATCGTCTACTTGGCAGTATTGGGCGAGGTGTTTGATGTCAGTAAGGGTCGGAAACATTACGGACCGGGAGGAGGATATGAATTCTTTTCGGGTAAGCTATACTTTATTTCTTAATCTGAACTACCTGCATAAAGCATTGTCATTGTTTCCCAACCCATGTCATGGTCCATAAGTACCAAGGATATATTATGTATGGCCTGTGGGTTACCGGAAAGTTCGTACCTTGTCCATACTAGCTTAATGAAGAAATAGCACCCCAACTAAACGTGATGCGAAAACAAAATGACCATTGCTTAGTCTTTGAATCAGTCCAGAACACACATCAGTTCAGTTTTGTTGACAAAAAGCAATTTTTTTGTTTGCAGAAAGATAATAAGGTTGCAGTCATTTACTCTTAGAGAAAGATAGCAAGGTTTCAAAGTCAATTATCGCTCAGAGAACCGAAAGGGAACATAACGGTCGCTAGTACGTCAATCGGGAGTCTGCAGTAACTGTATTTACATCTCTTGGTGTAAATTAAGAAAAAGTTGCAATTGTTGCCGAAATCGTGGAACCAGGTACTAAACTTGGAATCACGGTGAACGTGTGTGCTTGGCTGTCTGCTCGGGGGTGGATCGGAGGGTTTGGTGTAAGTTTTGTTTTTATTTTAAGGGAGATAGTGGCAACAAGTGCATTAAAATAGGTTTTTAGTAACAAAAGATCAAAAACAACACGATTCACAGTACCAACCCCAAGAACGACGTAAACTTAAAAAAAAATAAATATATAAAAATCAATCAGATCCTAAAGGTTTCCTTTCAACTACCATAGAGGCACTACAAAAAAATGAAAAAATGTATAGCGAAAAATATATATGTGTCAGCACCATACAACTTGCCGATATACTAATTACCAAACACAAAGTACACAGAATCTAAATTGGCCTTAAAGCTTCCTAAGAAGTAAATGAAAAATAATGCAAAATTAATTGACAAAGTACACTATAAATGGCTCAGAGTAAAGAATGGGATAATCTGCAAATGAACATACGAGAGGAGATTAAGCACAGTTACGTTAAGTCATACAAATGTCTAAACACCACTGAAATATTCAAAATGCCACAGAAATGTCCACTATCAACAGCTCTTGCGGTAGTATCACTGGTAAACAAACTTAAAAGTATATGTGAACCGGAAGTACATCCTGGGGTCAAGGTCACATCATTTCAGCTGATACCAGTCTATCCATAAAGATAACAATGTGTTGTTAGCAGTCTTTTCTCAAGAAAAATCAGCCTTCAAACAATATCCATCTATTGTATGCCGTATCTCATCACCTGTATGTCAATGACGTCACGAATCAAGCGGCTCCATTGAGTCCCATCGTAACCACACAAGTCACACACACAGATAATAAATTTCAAACACTGTATACCCCTCCTGGGGTAGAAATTGCCTCCCAGAGAATACACAGGTGGACACTACACACCTATGATATTGTAGATGGTGTGCTAGACTAGTCCTTAATATGGGTGACATTGGGCTGCTGGGATCATCTCACCTGGGTGCCGGGTACCCTCGATCCGTGCATGTCCCTACATGGGCGCCAATTTGTAACCGGGTTGCACATGGGTCTAAGAAATGACTAGGACAACCAGGTCGGGTTCTTTCGTTTATTGAGCTTTTTTACCCGCAATCTATATAATCCAAGTAGTAGCGTATAAAGATTGAACCTACAATACACAATTAAAAATACATGTCTTAACACAATGATAACAATACAAACCTACATCACTATCAATAGCACTATCTTATACATAGATTTACTTGTCAGTGGTAAATAACATACATGTGTATAATAAAACAAAGACAAGTATTACCCCTATATATCTGATACCACAAGGGGAGATAATCCACTTGCTCAACTATAAAAAACACACATACAGATATATAGCAATTATCAAGATAGTGGATATGATCCATATCTACATTACATTGATCAAATGTACAATTTACAACATGAACTATGAAACAATAGAATTCACTGGCCGGCTATTAATAGTACACAACCACATTTCACATATGAATTAAAGTACAAAATGTAAATTACACTAAAATAAGCTATTGTGCTTACCTCGACTATGGGTTGAGGATCATACGCCTTAACCCGATCTACTAGGATAAGTACCAAAAAGAGTTTAGTTTCTGTATATATCACATTATTACGAGAGGTGAGAAACACACCTATCTCCAGCTAAGGCTCTTTTCCTTCTGACAATTTACACAAAGAACTTTCCCTCCAAAAATACAGCCAATAAAATAAAAGGTCAATTAAAAGGTCATGTCAAGGGTCGAGTTAGTTATGGACATTACATACAAATATCATGCAGACAAGACATGGACAGTACAGGTAATACTGGACAATACTTAGGTAGGTAGGTCACATGACCATACCTATACATAGAACATATACAACATTGATACTCCATTAAGTGGTTACCACTTTCCATATACATCACCAGTACCTGTATATAGATATAACAAGTTCTTACTCTGCATTACACATAATACAGGTGCACTGCAATTATACACTAAAAATTCGTCAATATATACTTAGACCCTAATTTGCATAATAACTTTACAATACACAACTTGACCTACATGTACACTAATGTAAATTAACTGAAAAATAAAATACATTATTGGATTAGGTGAAATAGTTCACCTGGCCACATTTATACATATTTGTGTAAGAGTTTCTCAGTCTGTGTACTGCCGACACAGATATACTTGTTTGTTGAATGTTGTTGAATGTATTATATATCATTTTACCAGCAGTTGTGCTCTATGTGTATCATTTCCATGTAAAACCGGATTTAATACGTATCTCACGCGGATCATACAAGTATTTAACAAAAAAAAAAAAAAAATCAGAAGATATGTTGATTGTCAAACCATTCTTCTTCATTAGAAATAAATTGAGATACATATTCTTAACTGTCACTGAACCCTATCGTCAGCAGTAATATTTTCATAACTTCTTCTTGTGTACACACTGTGTACAAGAACAGCATAGGAAACAATCTACCGATGCGATACGGATATATATTTCTTAAGATATAAATTGATGTTAAATTTATACACTTAGTCAAGTTCATTGTGACCAATGGTAGAATGTGTGACCATGTTGATAATCAGATGCCTTTGTTGACTGCTTAATAAATGCTCTGTCTTTTTAGGACGTGACGGGTCGCGAGCCTATGTTTCTGGAGATTTTACAGAAGCAGGACTTATTGACGACATCACGGGACTCTCACTTACAGATATCCGGGGTCTGGGCGACTGGGTGAAGTTCTACAGGAAAGACTACAAATATGTCGGTAAGGCGTCACGTCTGGCAGGAAAGAACTCAACACACGGTGATGAGACTCATGCCGTGAGGATTGAAGACTACATCATACAATGATATATTTGCTAGGTGTATACAAGAAAACCATGTTTGTCTTTGAGGCGATTTACCACAAAGTCTTGACATGAATTCCCATCCCGTGGCCCCTATATTAGACACCTACAATATGCATTCACCCTAGTTACGTTGTATGTGTTTCGGTACGGGAATGTGTTTTGTATATTTTTGTTGTTGTTTGTAACACATATTCTCACTAAGAATGTCAGATTTCGTGGTTTTAGTCAACTGAAATGTGGTGTATATATACAGAGTATTGGTCATTTCAGAAGCCTATTCCTTTTACTATGATTGAGACACCTAAAGTAGAAATTCCATACACGTGCTTTTAGGAGGTCAAACAGCAAGAGATAGAGTATTGTATCCCCACTAAAATTTCACATTATAAGGTTCTGGTATTTATCAAGGAGATACTCAATTACATGGATGACATAATAATTGTGGTTTGAGATTTCTTTTCAAGAGAACGGAAAAAATGGCATACATATGTTAGCATGATGATGTATAATGCAAAAAAAATTCAAAACGTTACTATCTCGTCTGACACCAAGATCAATAGCGGACATTTTACGAAACAATTAGTTTGATTATTTTTTCGAACTAATAATTTCCAGTTTAAACTCATGCACGTGAAAGATTGTATCGTATCATTCATTTATCATTTCAGGTAAAGTTGTTGGAAATTTTTATGACGAGGCGGGAACGCCGACAGCGGCGTACCACGGCTACCAGAAACAGCTTGCTGCCGCCGAAAACGAAAATGCGTTAACAGCAGCAGATTATAAACGGTTCCCGCCTTGTAACTCCGAGTCAGCGCAAGGAAAAGGCAGAAGACTATGGTGTTCAAATCTCAGGTACAAATACAGCGTAGCATTACAGAAATTATATACCGTTTCCGAATAATATTTTACGGTTAGCCCCAACCCACCTGCACTGGTGCACAGCTGCCAAGCATCATGCAAGCCCGAAAATTAAATGGATTTTAGTTTAAACAATATTTTTATTCAGTAATAAGCATTTAATTACAGACAGGTACGCATAATCTTATGGGATGGGAAAACAAGCTTAAAGCTTATATTAATTCCTTTCCCATGTACATACAAAAACAAATATAAATCGGAAATGGAACACCTAACATCGACATTGGATGAAAAAGTAATATTTGGACATAACAATAAAACATATTAACTTACGTATACGCACATGTGGTGGATAGAATTACAAAATGTAATTTACAACTTAAGTAGTGGCGCCTTAATTTATTGGTATGTAAAAAAGGTTACCTTTCAAAGCTCCATTCAGATCTATGAAACAATACATAATGTACAGTTTTATAATAAGAATTAAAGGACAAAAAATATTAGGTAAAACGTTTACTAAGCTTGATATAATTTTGCACGGTCAAGAATATTTGTTCATTTTTCTGTTTAGAGTAAGTGTCGTTTCCCCATAATAGAGTTTTTTCAGTTAGAGTAATATCTAGTTGAAGTAAAGTATTTTGTCGAATTATGTTATAATTAGCACAAGACAATAAAAAATGGTGGGTACTTTCTACTAACCCGCATGAACAAAATGGACTTTCTTCCAGATTTCTTAAGTATAAATGTTGTTTGAGATTACTGCATTTAAGTCTCAATCGTGTATGTAAAATTTGAAGGTTTCTACTTCCAATATTAAAATAGTGTGGAACCATTACATTTTCTTTTTGTAAAAATCTTTTGATAATCCTGACAGACGGATTTTCGCGAATGTCGATTGGTAAAGAATTCCATAAATGTACTGAAGAATTTAAAAAAGATGTTTTATAAAACTGAGTCCTGCAATTAATTAATAGTAAATTGTTTGAATTTCTAGTATTATGTCTGTGGGTATCTGATACCTTACTTGGAATTAGACTGGATAGATAAAATGGAGTTTTCTTATGATACATTTTATGAAACTGCAAGAGTTTATGATTTTCCCGTCTTTTAGAAAGTTTTTCCCAACCCACATCTTTATACAATAAACTAACACTTGACAATTTAGTAGCACCTGTAACTATTCTTGCAGCTTCTATTTGGATGTTTTCTAAATTTTGACATAAATAATTGGGTAAATTATCCCAAACTACGTCAGAATATTCCAAAATAGGTCTGATAAAAGCAAAATATATTGTTTGGAGAGAATTCCTATCAAGTATGTTTTTTAAATTTCTTAAAACCGCTAGTCTTGGTGACACTTTCTTTAATATGTAATCAGTATGATTTTTCCATGTACCATCATCAGAAAATAACACCCCTAAATGCTTATGAGATTTTACATTAGTTACATTGACATTGTCCATAGTGATAGGATCATAAATTCCTGGTATAGTTTTTCGGCTAATTAATAAAGATTCTGTCTTGTCTGGATTAAATTTTACTAACCACTTATTTGCCCATACATGTATTTTTGAAAGATCATTATTGATGGTATTAATAGCAATCGTGGGATTTTCAACTATGATATACAAGGCTGTGTCATCAGCAAATAACTTTATTTTACAACTAATATCATTCACTATATCATTAATATATACTAAAAAGAAGAGAGGACCTAATATTGAACCTTGAGGTACACCTGCTTTGATATTTTGGGTTTCAGAGAAAATACCATTTATAACAACCCTTTGACTTCTGTCAGTTAAATAATTTTTGCACCAAGATAGCAATTTACCAGAAACGCCAGATTTTTCCAATTTATGTATAAGACCCCTGTGCCAAACACTATCAAACGCTTTACTTATATCACAGAATACGGCAATGATTTCTTTACCCGCGTCTAAAGCCCTCCCAATATCATTTGTAATGTCTAATAATTGATTTGTTGCAGAATCCCCAGGTGTGAAGCCCGATTGACAATTTGTAAAATAATTTGTATCTCTAAAAAAATTGTAAAGATGTTTAAAAATACACCTTTCCATTAGTTTGCCAACGATACTTATCAAAGATATAGGTCTATAGTTTGAAACAACGGATTTGTCACCTTTTTTAAAAACTGGTGTAACATTAGCGACTTTCCATATAGAAGGATATATACCACAGTCGATAGATTTGTTAAACAATTTAGAAAGAATTGAAATAATAGACCCTGTCTTTGCTTCCTTAATAATTCTTGGACTCATTTTATCTGGACCAGAAGCTTTAGAAGTATCTAACTTATTTATTGCATCTTCAACATCTTGTTCAGTGATATCAATATTTTCAAGTGTATTATTAGTAGCTACATTATTTGGTAGTGTTACATTAGAGTCGTCGATAGTAGACTGGCTAATAAAGTAATTGTTAAAAAGATCTGCTTTTTGTTTACTATCACCATAATATATATCATTTTGCATTAACGTTGGTATATGAGAAGTTTTGGTTGAAAAATTTGTAAAATTGTTAATCAACTTCCACCAGTCACGTGTTGATGTAGACATACATTTTATCTTACCGGTTAACTTTAAAACATATTCATTTTTTGCTTTCCTTATAGCGTCAATACATTTATTTCTTGCCTGTCTAAATTTCTGCCAGTGATACGGATTTTGGGTACCTTTAGCTTTTCGGTGTAATCGTTTTCGATCCCTTATTAATTTTCTTACATCATTATGCATCCATAGTGGTTCATTATGCCTTATTGTTACTGTTTTATTAGGAATACATATTTTAGCAGCATCTAATATTGTGGAATTAAAAAAAATGGCAAATTCGTCAATTGATAAATTTTCAAATGGACTAATCCAGTCGATATTATTCAATCTATCCCAAAACATTTTGTAGTCACCGTTTTTATATAACCATATATGCCTTTGAATACTTGATTTCAAACTGTTACGACTAACATCTAAAAATGTATAAATAGGGCAGTGATATCTAGTCTCAGCAGGTAAAAAAGATTCTCCAACAACAACTTCCTTAATAACGCCTATATTATTTGTCATAAATATGTCTAAAAGAGAGGATGAATTTTCTGTGAAATGAGTAGGTTCATCAACAAGTTGAATAAAATTATATCGATACATTAAATCAATAATACGATTAGGGTTTGTAGCTAATTGATTTTCATTAAAATCACCTGTTATCAATATACTATCAAATTCATAATTGGCAACCATATCAATAGAATGATCAATTAAATTCCAAATTTCATTCCCAGAGTTCGGAGGTCTATAAAAGGTTCCTAGCATAATAATTTTATTGTTAAGCTGCAGTTCTATCCAAATGCATTCTAGATTATTAATTTCAAATTCCGAACGCCGGATCGCAGTAATATTTTTATTAACATACACGGCAATACCCCCACCGATTCTATCAGACCGAGATTTTACAAAAGGGTTATGAAATTTAGAAAGAAGAAGTTCGCCGGACTTTTCTGTTGTAGGTGATAACCAAGTTTCAGTAAAGGATAAGATATCATATTGATGTAGTTCACTAAAGATTAAGTCCACTTTAGGTAATAGGCTCTGAACGTTGTAGTGCACTAATGATAAATAATCTTGGTTAAGAATTGATAAATCTGAAAGGGATGAACTACCAGGACCCGGGTTACTTTCAATATCTCCACAACGTACGAGTAAATGTTGAAAATATATTAAATATACACTACCCATGCCAATCGACCAACTGTCAATAACACTTACAAAGTTCAAGTTGGGGTACGGTCCCCAAATATAGAGGGAGTAGTAAAGACAAAGGAGTAATACATAGCACACAATAATGTTCAAAACAGCATTTACATGTACATTATTAGAATATTCATTCGACTTATTTACATTACTTAAGTTTAAAGGTTTGTCTTTCATAAGCATATGAAGAAATACCATAATAGGCATCGCATTGATTTTATAAACCAAAAATAAATTGGTTGCTAAAATGATAATGAGGTCTAATTGTTTGCTCAAAGGTAACCGACTTGACCTCGCGTGATACAATGGATTTTATTAATTCATTTGCACGACTCAATCTGAATAATTGATGTGGTACATCTAGATTTTGTCTGTTGTAGTGGTGGTATACAGCGAGACTGGGCAGGGCTTCCAAGAGAGTATTACAGACCTGGAGCAGCAAAACCACGCTGCGCATGCGTTAAGGATGTGGGACCACCATCAGAAAAATCAAACATCGCTTCAGTTGATAAAAACAATGGCGATCTTGACAACCCAAATATGAAAATTTATACGGGATGTGATCCGAAATCCATATCATGTTCATTTAATGATTTTTAGTGAAAATTTAATTTGTTAGGAAGGAACGCTCAATTAACACATTCAATTGTCATTATTGTGCATTGTACATTGGCAATGATAGATATTTAAAAAAGGAAACAAGAAAAAAAAACATGCTAACAAAGACAATTTTATTGAATTTTCAATTGAAAACACGCATTTTATTGATTGAACACATTACATGTGATTATTTACATTTTTACAAACAAGTATATTTGTTGATATGTGTGTGTTCATTGGACGTTCCAGAATTAACATTTAATAATTTATTTTCCTTTTCAAGTAATGAATGATACATTTTTGTTTACGCGTCCCATTGTTAAAGTAAGATATATTCTTGACTGTAGACACAGTTACAATGACAGTGTCATTACTGAGATATTTTTTTATCCTGAATCTTCCATATCAAATAGTTGTTGCACTTCACACGTGTGTCAATGAAAGACAATATGTTGAGTAACATGTGCCAATTGTTAACGAATATCGAACAAAGTGAAGGGTGTTGAAAGAAAGTAAAATTGATAAGAACATTGATGTCTTGCCTGTCTTGCCTTTTTACAAAACCGAACCATGTAATAGTAAGAAACAAAATCAGAATTCAACAAATTGATTTATAATAATGAATGTATTTCGTTACCATTCAAAGCGAAAGTACACCATAGAAAAGTAGCCATCTGTGTGAAATAGAAATGTTTGTCTGGATAGGCAATGGAATAATGAGTATGGGCTCTGATGAATGACAAACTGACATGAAAGATTTCCCTCAATACCACATGGTTCAATAATGTTAGTGATACAGCAAAAGGTTTTTTTTCCAGAATAATGTATGAAATATATGGAAATACTCGTTGGGTGTCCCTCTTACATGAAATGGCTTGCTTAAATTACATTCACTTTCAAGTCAATATTGAAAATTTATAAAATTGTCTGCCTGGTCAGACTCAAGATAGTAATGATTAGGTTTCTAGGAACTGGTGGTTTTCTAAGGTAACTAACATACCGAACACTCCGACAAGAACAGATAGAATGACCCTATTGACCTAACTATGAAATGTATAACCCTAATAGATATCATAACTATATATAATAGCGACGATCTCCCTAATAATAATAAAATAGCTGGCTGGTCTATGGAAACTACCATAATCGCTCGTAATCAGTCTCTCATTCACTTTTACTCGCACTTTAGTTCATACAAACGCCTTCATGCTAGTTTGTAACTTGCTTATTACCATATACAGTACATCCTTATACTGCCGGAGGAAATAAGTGCCTAACAACCCACTCATACCATTAGTGTCGGCTTACACTAACCTGTGATAAAAGGGATTAGCATTCTTTATGAAATCCAATCTCACTCCCCCCCCCCCCTTGATTTTGCAGCAAAGAGGTTAAGCTTAGTTTTTGTCAACATTTCATTCCTCAGCTCTGACCGGTCCAGTAGCTTTTGTGAGATTATTGAGCCAGCGGACCCCGAGGTTTTTTACCTCCTCGTTGTTGGAGCCCAGGTGTCTTTAGGTAGGTTATGTCCCTCCCTGTTTGTAGGATCAAACCTTCAGTTGTACTTCTCCCATCCGAGATGTATATGGGAAGAGGGTTGAATGTATTTACGACTAATTCAGAGATTTGATTCAGTTTAAAACGGAATTATAGAATAGAGAAAGAGAGGGGGCGAAAACAGAAACAAAGATAAAGAGAGGGGACTTTAGCGGCAGAGACACGCCAAGAAAGACACAGGCTGACACAGTCGAAGAATGGAGAATTGAGAGAAACAGGCAATCTGAAAGACTCGTGTACAAGCGGAGAAAGAGAAACACAAATAATGCACAGACGGACGGACCATAGCTATAGAATCTAGAAACAATGTTTTTAGAGATATCACGTAGATTATTGGCCCCAGATCCACCTTATATCTCACTCCATATCCGATTCATGCACCTGATCTATTTTTATTCTTAAAAGGCTCGAATAGAATTATGTAAAATTCACAACTTCATTAAGGTTTATATTAAGCCTGATTGGATCCATCTCATCGTAAATTTTCCATATCTTGACAGTAACATTCCTACTTAGTCCTTCTTCGTAGTTGGTTCGGTAGGCATTGGTAACAATATCAAATTCCATGATTTAAACACATTGTATTGTCAAAATCAGCCATAGAACACAATACAGGAATATTCGTTATTATCAACAATAGTGACAATGACATGTTAATGTTAGCTGGTAAACTGCGGAATGTCCGGGAAGGATACCAGATTAATTTTCATTAAAAAATCATTATCTTCAGCAAAGTTGATTATATGTTTAACAACACACATTTCATTAATTTTGAAATAGAAAAATAATTTGAAAGAGAAATCAGTATATAATTGGAAAGATTTCTGGGTTCTCCTTGTTTTAGATAATGATGAGATAAGTGGTTGTTTACGATCAAAGGGAAAACAGTTATTAACAAGCCTTCATTGAAAATCTTTAAAAAATACGAAAAGATAAGTTTGTAACCACTACTAGCGTTGTCTATACTTAAACTCCACTCTCAAGAAATATAACGTTTGATGTAAAGAAACCATTACACAAGTAGGCTCAGTAAAGATCTACAAATGCTATGGTCAGCGACTAGGACTTCTGTGCTTATTTCGATGTCTCAAGTCAACACTCACCAAGAATTCAAACATCGAAACAATAACCACATTTCAACGAAATCCATCATAATTCGTCTTTTATGACACATCACATCAGCCCAAATACTTTTCAGAGTGACTGGTTCAAACTCGTTTGTGTCGAGTGTTAATAGTACCGGAGACATAACGTAACCAGACATAATCTGACTCGTCTTCAATAGTCATCAAGGTGTGTCTCTGTGCAGCATAGATGATCAGATTCACTGGTAATAGTCAACAAAGGTGAATCTATTTCTAATGCTTCTGACGTCAAAAGTAAAAAATTAAGTCAAAATTACCAAGGTTGTTGGGACCTGGTTTTATCTCAATGTCTCCGCTAAAGATTAAAATAACGAAATGTAATGGCAAGACAGTGCTGTAGAATCCGGACGCGTGTGGGGGGTAGTCACCACGTAATCAATGTCTTCTGATAACTATAATTGACGAGCTTTATCAGGCGTTGTTAAGTGCCCTCTCACCTCTTTACATGTGCGTATCCGTCACTTAAGTGTTTAAGGTTGAAAACACAAAGTCCTATATCACTCACTTTTTTGTGAAAACTCTGTAAGTTCAGAATACAAAGTACAAAGTCTACAACACTAATGTAAATCATAAAAGTTAAAACTCTGACCAGCATACCCGACGATCTAACCCGTTTGATGATGAACTATATATTGCAAAACTTTAATATTAACTATAAGTATTGATAGCTAGGCCACGTTTTGAAATGAAATAAGAAAAATAGGAGGGGATGGGGGAATGACCGATAAGTTGTTAAATCGCATGCCAAATTGTTAAATGTATAATACCGCTTTGACTGTGAAATATGTTTCTTTGTGGTGCACAATGGCATATGTTGCAGATTTAAAGGGAAATGTTAAGTTGTTCCAGTCTGACGCATGATTTATAAAATAAGACACACGATATCACTATAACGGGGATTGATTGATGCCACTAGATATGGGGAACGATATCACTGAATGAACACTATCACTGGACGTTCGGATCAATACAACTAGTATGGGGAACGATTAAACTGGACGTTGGCATCGGTACCATTGGATTTTGGGAACGGTATTACTGGATATATATAATTTGACGTAGTGAACTATCTCTGATAGTGTAACCTATGTCAGTAGTCAAAACCAATACTAATTCAAAGGAAAACATTCGTCTTTTCTTCAAGCGTTTGGCGAAACCACCGAAATATAGAAGCCTCCATAATTCACTAACAAGAATTATGTTTTCATCGTTTATTTCAACATCTAACTCGTTTTAACATCTATATAGTAGAACTTTTCATCACCAACTATTGCCAAGCTCCTGTTGATTAAATTTGGACTTAAACTGAATTTAGAACATATTTCCATGTCTGTGTAAATGGCAATGATATATAGGTCGATTGTTTCTAAGAGTTTTTACTTGGTATACTTTTTTTGTAAAATACGCCATGCACTTTTCAGTTTAGAGGAAGAGTACCCATGTGCTGCCATCAGTCGTGTATTGAACAGATTACTGAATATATATATGTGTGTAACGTATACAGTTTTGATGTTAACTGGTGTGATATGAAGTTTATAGGCTAAAATGGCTAGGTAGGCATCATCGTATATAAACTTCTTTGTGTATTGTGAAGCAAAGTGAAGGTCGATAACTAAATCCATGCTTAAGATCATAAAACCAGCTGAAGGCATTCTAGGATACCATTCATGGGGGTAGTCCTCAGGTGGCACATACCACTTAGATGTCTCTGTTCGGTATGGCTTATGACTTGTGATATATCCTCCGAAAAAATTTGGAAAAGTCACTTCATTTTTTAGAAACTCTACCAATCGTGCTGTAGATACCAACATATCATCATCGACAAAAACTACAAACTTAGAACGGTTACAGTGTTTCACGCTCCAATGAATCGCTCCGATTGTCTTTAGTGTGTTATTATAGTAATTATCGAGAAAAGACATTACGATCATATCCTTATGAAGATGATTTTCGTTTTCCACACTTGTTTGTTTTAGTTGGTTATCTGACGTTCCCACAAGGAATAATCTAACGCCGTTGTAGTTTTTCATCAGTTTCGATTGAGACCATGTCTCCCTTATTGCCTGCCGGTTTTCATAATTTTCTATCGCAGATTTGATGAGCAATATGAAAAAAGGCGCGTCCTCCACACATTTGTCTATGCGATGGTGCTTGAATCTATACGTGTACGGAAATATAGGTTTGTGTTCCACGGGGATGTTTGATTTCAGATTTCGAACGAGTTCTACCATATTTATATCCAAAGGATACGGAAATTCTGACCATGCTTTAGTTTTTAATGACTTGTTCACAACTTTTGATGAGTTATCTAAATATTTGTTTTCACTCCATATTCTTGTATCAATTTTGAAATCTTGATCGTCGGTCATGCTGTTTGTTGAATTTGTCTCTTTCAGTTGAAGGTCTTGTTGATAATGTTGTCGTTTTCTCTTCACTGTCAGACCGTATTCATTCAGAATCAATAGTACAAATATTTTACAAACAGCACCGAGCACTGTGATCAAGAGCAGCCACTTTGGTAACATCATATTAAACGTCTTCATTCTGAAAATGGACTATAAAGGACACACTATTACATTAGAAAAATGATAATTTAACTACCTATGTTCAAAGGGAAACACTAGATAGGAGACAGCGAAACATACGATTAAATAATTCTAAAGATTAGAGTTTGCATTTCAATAGTAACTGTTGTCGAGGGCTCAATGTGACATTTACCTATCTACGACCTAACGATGTTAGCATGACGTCAGTATGCAAGAGCTACCATTCTTTCGGAGGAAATAGAACAGAAAAACTACAAAAGACACATAAAAATACTCTAGAAACATGG